TATATCCACGTACACACACACACACATGTATATGTCTACACACACGCACACGCGCATATATATACATAGATGTACAAGCAACATGAGGCATTATTGTAATGCACACGCTGCAGTTGAATTCATGGCCGAAATATTCGCTGACCGTATCGCGCGCGTGTCTTTTGGTTGGGTTTCTTTGCTGTTACGTAGCAGAACGATGTGGGTGGCGTGGGGGGTGGGTGTGAAACGTTGAAACCGGCGGTGATCTTCAACAATCGATTAATCTAATCGACGTCAGAGCTCCGCTCGCGGATGTAACGGGGCGACTTTGCCGAATCGACTTCGAATTTCTCCGCGGCTAAAAGACAAAAAACACCGCTTCATATCGCGTCGATCATCTCCTGTGTGCGGCGTTCTGTTCTTCGTCAGTGTTGGGGGGGGGCGAAGGGGGGGGGGATAATTTCTAGAGAGCGGGGGGGGGGGCTCTGAAAGGATCCGTGGCTGTTATTGCCACACTTTGTAAAACACTTTGTGAACCACGTGGAACTCGATTTGCAGAAGTCACAGCGCGCGCGCGCGTCTAATATGCTGATAGTTGAGCATTATTAACTGATAATACCGTGGTGATGATGATGACGATGATTATTATTGTAATAATGGTGGTTAATGATGATTAATCTTATACCCACTTTATACTCGATCTATACCAGCATCATCTCTCTGTCTCTCTTTGTAATTGTACATACACACAGTTGTTACCGTCTGTTTCTTGTATATATTACGATCATCACACTCTTTATTTATCGCCATTTAAATTAATTATATAACTGACGTAATGATTGACGGACGGGGTGGGAGGGGGGGGCGGGGGGCGGTGTACGTCACTGTCGCGGGTGTGTATCGTGGCCGTCATAATTATTATGACATTATCATCATCAGTATTATTGCTACAGGACTTTGGTAATGGTGGTCGATGTTCTTGTTATTCTGATTAAATACACACGTGGTTGTTTTTATGCCGGTCTGAGCGTTCATCTTGTTGTGAGCCTGAGTGTGTGTGCGGTGAGTGTGTGTGCGGTGAGTGTGGTGTGTGCGGTGTGTGTGTGTGTGCGGTGTGTGTGGTGTGTGCGGTGTGTGCGGTGTGTGTGGTGTGTGTGTGTGCGGTGTGTGTGTGGTGTGTGTGGTGTGTGGTGTGTTTGTGTGGTGTGAGTGGTGTGTGTGTGTTTGGAGTGTGTGTGGAGTGTGTGTGTTTGGAGTGTGCGTGGAGTGTGTGCGGTGAGTGTGTGTGTGTGTGCGGTGAGTGTGTGTGTGTGCGGTGAGTGTGTGTGTGCGGTGAGTGTGTGTAGATGTGTGTGTGTAGGCATGTGCTCGCAAACAGCACTTTCCCCAAAAAGTCTGCTGAGGCTATGAGGGGGGTTTTTGTCTGTGTTTGTGGGGAGCGGTGGCGCAGCGGTTAGCGCTACCCTGCGCTACGAACCTGGCGACCCGAGTTCGATTCCCGCTCGCGGCCAAACCGGTGACGATTATCTGAACCGGTCCTGGGCCTACCGTAGGTTGGCTCAGCCTCAAATGCGTACCTAGTGCGGTGTGTAAACATCGTCACTAAGGAGACAAAGGCGGTCGGTCGTGATGCTGACCACCCACCCCCTCGTGTACCGTTCGGGCCTTCATAGGTGCTCGCTAACGGCACTTGCCCCAACAGTCTGTTAAGGCTACAAGGGGGATCTTTATCTTTGGCTTTGTGTGTATATATGTGTTAATGTGAGTGAGTGTATTTGTGTGTATGTCGATGTGTTAGCGTATTTGTGTGTCCGAGACGCGTACGTGTGTGAGCGAGTGTTTGTGTGAGTGAGAGGGTGTGAGTGTACGTGAGTGTCCGTGTGTGTGTATCAGATTTAATAGATACGCACGTGTGTAGGTGTGAGTGTGTTTGTTTGTATGTGTGTATATGCGTGTGAGTGTGTCTGTATGAAGTTGATTGGTGTGTGAGTGTACACATATGTGTGTGTATGAATTTCTGAGTGTGGGGAGCGGTGGCGCAACGGTTAGCACGCTGTACCACGAACACAGCCACCCGAGTTCGATTCCAGCTCACGGCCACCAACACCAGCTGAGAATATCTGAACCGATCCTGGGACCTCCCCTAGGTCGACTCGGCCCCAAACATCTCCACTGGGGAGACAAAGGCGGCCGGGCGCGGTCCTGGCAACCCCCCCCCGCCCCCCGCTCATGTGCACTTGCCCCTACAGTGTGCTAACGCTACACGGGGGATCTTTGAGTGCCTTCGGGCGCGCGGGAATGCGATGGGAGCGGTGGCGCAACGGTTAGCGCACCGTGCAACGAACCCGGCCACTGCTCTTAAGCATTCGCTGATGGAAATTTCTGAACCGCAACCTGGGCCTCACCTAGTTCGACTCAGCCTTAAAATAAATAATAACTGTTGGGGAGACAAAGGCGGCCACGTGTTGTTCTGACCACATCCACGTGACGTTCCAACTTGCCCCAGCAGTCTGTGAGAGGCGATACGGGGGGGGGGTCTTTGTACGTGGTCGAATCGACGGATACAAATATGTATCTAACCACCAGCAAATGCATATTAAAGACAAATGTGCCCCGCGCAGCCTGCCCAGGCTTTTGGGTCAAGTGCTGTTCGCAAGCACCGCCTGCACACGAGGGGGTGGGTGGCAAGCACCACGCCCGACCGCTTTTGTCTCCCCGGTTTCTATGCTTAGTATACACCGCACCAGGTACTCATTTGAGGCTGAGTCGACCTAGGGTGGGCCCGGGACCGGTTTAGATAATCGTCACTGGTGTTGGTCGTGAGCGGGAATTGAACCCGGGTCGCGCTAACCGCTACACTACCGCTCCCCACATACAAAGACAAAGATCCCCCGTATATCCTGAACAGACTGTTGGGGCAAGTGCTGTTAGCGAGCACCTATGAAGGCCGGAACGGTACACGAGGGAGTGGGTGGCCAGCACCACGCTCGACCGCATTTGTCTCCCCAGTGGCGATGTTTACACACCGCACGAGGTACTCATTTGAGGCTGAGTCGACCTAGGGGAGGCCCAGGACCGGTTCAGATAATCGTCACTGGTATTGGCCGTGAGCGGGAATCGAAATCGGGTCGCGAGGTTCGTAGCGCAGCGCGCTAGCCACTACAGACACAAAGACACACACAGAGACACACAAAGATCCCCCATTTAGCCTTCACAGACTATAAGGGCAAGTGCTGTTAGCGGAGCACCTAGGAGGGCCGGCACGGCACACTAGGGGGTGGGTGGCCAACACCACGCCCGGCCGTCCTTTGTCTCCCTAGTGACGATGTTTATACATCGCACCAGGTACTCATTTGAGACCTACACAGACACACCTACATACACACACGAACACACACATAGACTCACATAGACTCACATACACATACCCCCACATACACACACAGACACACACACAGACCCCACATACACACACACACAGATACAAACGCACAGACACACACAGACCCCCACATACACACAGACACATACTCACAGGCCCCCACATACACACACACACAGACACGCACATACACACACACAGACACCACACAGACCCACACATACACACACATACACACATACACACACACACACAGGCCTCCACATACACACACACACAGAGGCCCCCACATACACACACACACAGACACACACACACACATACACACACAGACACACACACACAGACACACACACATACACACACATACAAAGACAAAGATCCCCCGTATAGCCTTAACAGACTGTAGGGGCAAGTGCTGTTAGCGAGCACCTATGAAGGCCAGAACGGTACACGAGGGGGTGGGTGGCCAGCACCACGCCCGACCGCCTTTGTCTCCCTAGTGGCAATGTTTACACACCGCACCAGGTACTCATTTGAGGCTGAGTCGACATAGGGGAGGCCCAGGACCGGTTCAGATAATCGTCACTGGTGTTGGCCGTGAGCGGGTATCGAACTCGTGTCGCCGGGTTCATAGCGCAGCGCGCTAACCGCTACACTATCGCTCCCCCCACACATACACACACACAGACACACACACACAGACCCCCACATACACACACACACAGACACACACAGACACACACACACCCCTACACGTGCGCACAAGGGCCGTTAAGCACCTGAACTGGCGGTCTTTGGCGCCGCAGCAGACGCCTTAGCGGGGGGTTGGAGTCACCGGTCCGGCCGACTCGTCTGGGTGGAGTGGAGAGGTCGTGGGTGCCTGGGTGGGGGGGGGGTGCCGTGACCCCGTCGGACAGACTTCAAAGAAAGAGAGAGAGACACACAGAGAGAGAGATAAAACAAAGTCACGATTCGAACTTTAGCAACGACAAATCATCTTCTTGGTTCTTTCGGTAAAGTCACGTAGAAGGGAAATAATAAAATAATAAAAATAAAACATGAGAAAAATATTTTTATTATTTTAGTATTTCCCTTCTACGTGACTTTACCGAAAGAACCAAGAAGATGAATCCCTGCAGTCACGAAAGCTTTAAATCGAAATTGTATTATTTTATTTTGCTTTATTTTTATTATTTTATTATTTCCCTTCGACGTGACTTTACCGAAAGAACCAAGAAGATGAATCCCTGCAGTCACGAAAGCTTTAAATCGAAATTTTATTATTTTATTATGTTTTATTTTATTCTTTTATTACTTCCCTTCTACGTGACTTTACCGAAAGAACCAAGAAGATGAATCCCTGCAGTCACGAAATCTTTACATAGAAATTTAACGACAAATCTGTCTCTCCTCTTTCTCTCTCTTTCTCTTCACCCACTCTCTCTCTCTCGCTCCATCTCTCTATCCCACTAATCTCTCTCGTTCGCTCTCTCTCTCGCGCGCTCCATATCCATCTCCGATGTGGCGTGAAACGTGGTCGCCATTCTCGTTCGCCCGCGGCCCCCTTTTTTCTGGGAGGGGGGGGGCTCCTTCTCCTCTTCTTTGCACTCCCATCTCTCTTCTCTTGTCCCCCCTCCCCCTCTCTCTCTTTATCTCTCGCATTTAGCGCCACAGCGCGTGGATTTACAGCGATTATTTGTGTTGCTGGCGACTTTGTATTTCATATCGGAATCGCCTTCAGTGCTGTTGCTGCTGACGGTAATAAAAGTTATTTAAAAGTCGCCTCTTTATCTCTCGAATGTTATCTCTCTCACCCTCTCCGTCCGCTCTCCCTCCCTCCCTCTCTCTTTTTAAAATGTATTTTAACACTTAAAAGTTTGTTTAATCAACGTTTTTTTGCTGCAACAGACAACGCGTTGATCAAGATAGAAGCACTGTTTCACCACGGAGATCTCTGCTTATAACATTTTGCTATTTTCCCTCGCTCCAACTCTCTCCCCATCTCTCTCTCTCTCGAGCGTGCGCTCCCCTTTCGCCGTCTTTGTAACTCCATCAAATTGTTTCGCTCCATCTCCCCTTGGCAGGCGACCGTTCCGAACAAAGACGAAACATTTATTTGATTTGACCCAACCCCGGCGCACTGAGCTGGGCGGATGGGTGCGGTTTGGGGTGTCTGAGGCTGCTGCTTCGGGTTCAATACCGGAACCGGGTCACGAACACGCACCCACTCGCTCACGGACACCCCACACGCACACCCATGCACGCACTGACACACACACTCACACATACACTCACGCACACACTCACACACACACTCACGGACACACTCACACACACATACACTCACACACACGCACACTCACGAACACCCCACCAACTCGCTCACGGACACCCTACACGCACACTCACGCACGCACTCACACACACACTCACAGACACACTCACACACACGCACACTCACGCACGCACTAACACGTACACTCACACTCACGGACACACCACACGCACACTCACGCACCCACTAACACATACACTCACACTCACGGACACACCACACACTCACACACACACTCACGCACACACACACTCACACACCACACACTCACACATCCACTCACGCACACACACTCACGCACACACACTCACGCACACGCACACCTCACACACACACTCACGCACACACACGCGCGTGCGGAGAGAGGAGAGAGCGGCGGGAGTCGGCGCTGCCTCCCCATCATGCGTGCCCACTCCACGTTCCCATGCCCGGAGCTGTTCGGTGAGTGTTACCCGCTGTTTGCTGTTAAAGCGTTTGTCATGTGCACGCATATATATATATGTGGGTGCCTGTCTGTGTGTGTGTGTGCCTGCCTGCCTGTGTGTGTCGTGTATCTGAACCGGTGCTGGGCTTCCCCTAGGTCGCCTCAGCCTTAAACGTGTATCTGGTGGTGCGGCGTGTAAATATGAGCATTGGGGAAACAAAGGCGGCCGGGCGTGGTGTTAGCCACCCACCCCCATCGTGTGCCGTGATCGCCGCAATAGGCACTTGCTGACAGCACTTGCCCCAAAAGTCCGCTGAAGGCTATACGGGTGATCTTTGCCTTCGTTTGTTGTGTGTGCATCAGCTGCGTCGCGGTTAGCGCACTGAGGCTCACGAACATGAGTTGGATTCCCGCTCGCAGGCCAACATCGGTGACGAACATCTGAACCGGTTCATAGGCCTCCCCTAGGTCGGCTCGGCCTCAAATGATCACCTGACTCGGCGTGTGTTTAACGCACAGCACTGCGGAGACGAATGCGGTCCGGGGAGTGGTTTTGGCCACCCAATCCCTCCAACAGCACTTGACCCAAGAGCCCATGTGGGCTATACGGGGGAACTTTGCCTTTGTATACCTGAGGCTCACGGCCTGCCTCCTATTGGCCAAGTCGCCGCATTCTCCGGAGTATAAGACGCACACGGTGCAGTGAGTTCGAACGACTCCGCATGTCACCGACACGAGATGCCTTCATCCAGCAGTGGATCGGCGTACGGCCTTATATAAAGACAAAGATCCCCCGTATAGCACTCAAGCGACTGTTGGGGCAAGTGCTGCTAGCGAGTAGCACCTAAGAAGTCCGGCAAGGCACACGAATGGGGTGGGTTGACAAAACCACGCCCGAACGGCTTTGTCTCCCCCCCTGTGCAGATATCTACACGATCGCACCAGGTACTCATTTGAGGCTGAGTCGACCTAAGGGGCAGGACCGGTACCGGTTCAGATAGTCGTCACTGGTGTTGGTGGCCGTGAGCGGAGAATCGAAGTCACGTGGCCGGGTTAGTAGTGGAGTGCTCGCGCAAACAGACACGCACGCACAAATATTACACGTAATCTATTTATATTTGGCAACGTGTTTCCCATGTTTGGGTTATTCCTAAAATTCGGAATACTTTGGCCAAATTATTCACTGTGTCTATCCAAATGTACGAAGTCTGTAAACCCGTAACCGATTTCCCTCTCCCCGAAAATATCTCCCTCCGTTCGGAATTGATACCGAAAGATGACGTCACAGGAAGTCACCTGACTTAAAATGGCGTCGTGCGCGTGGCTTTTTTCGCCGCCCCCCAAAAAATAAAACGGTGGCGTCACGTGGCTTTGAATGACGTCACTTTCGTTAGCAGGAACACCGTTTAGCGCGACAAAAAAGTTAACCTCGAAGCATTGTTCTTCTTGGTTCTTTCGGTAAAGTCACGTAGAAGGGAAGTAATAAAATAATTTAAAAAATAAAACATAATAAAATAATTCTCACGACATTTCGGCTACAACGCAAGCGGCCGCCTTCATGTGTAGCCGAAACGTCGTGAGAATTATTTTATTATGTTTTATTATTTTACTATTTTATTACTTCCTTTCTACGTGACTTTACCGAAAGAGAAGATGAATCCCTGCAGTCACGAAAGCTTTAAATCGAAATCTCGAAGCATTGGTCAATAACAGCATCGCACGCGCGCGCGTGTGTGCGTGTGTGTGCGTGAGCTTAAACGAAAACAAAATATACACAGTGAGGTTTCGGAGTACGCGGCGAGCTCAAAGTACGTGGACCCGCTCGCACGCGACCGACCGACCCCGATTAATCCTCGCACTTTGTGCGGCTCGTACTTTCGCTACACGCACGAGGCGGGAAGCGACGAGTCAAATCACTGCCCCCCCCCCCATCACGCAAGCGATGGGTTTGACGGCGTGTAACTCTATCGCACGAGCAAGAAGCGAGTCCTAAACAATCTCTAGCGTTCTAATCTAGTGTTAATCATATATAGTGTTAATAATCTAGTGTTAATCATATATAGTGTTAATAATCTAGTGTTAATCATATATAGTGTTAATAATCTAGTGTTAATCATATAGTGTTATTAATAATCTAGTGTTAATCATATATAGTGTTATTAATAATCTAGTGTTAATAACGTATAGTGTTATTAATAATCTAGTGTTAATAACGTATAGTGTTAATAAAATATCCAGTGTTCTATCTGACCCGGATGCTACAGATGATTAGTTAATCATTTATCGTGCAATACTGTACTTTGTGAAACATTTATGTACATTTATATTCATTCATATCCACTCTTAAATTGTATTTCCTACACTGCTATAGTAATATAGTATATAGTAGTGTATAGTCATGTAGTAGTATAAAGTATTGTTTAGTAATGTAGTAGCACATAGTAATATAGTAGAATATAGCAATATCTAGTAATGTATATATAATGTATATCTACACTCGTAAAGGCGAACCATAACTGATGCGAATTCGCGCATACTTGGGGGTACACGGAACCTAACCCCCCCCCTCACCGTGTACTCTGAGACCTCACTGTATATAAAAGGCGACGTTTCGCGAAATGATCCTTCTTCAGAGTAGGGAGACCAGGTAATGCAAGCGTTTCGACAAAATCCGATTAAAGTTCCGAAATTGACCTTGGAAACAATGCGAACTTCCGAAATCAGGAAATTGCAATTTTAAACTCATCTCGAATACGTGCTAAGTAGCGTTTCAACACTCGCATGTAATACATAAATAAACATACATTTGAAAAAAATGTTACACCACGTTACGCTCTGGCCAACATTGTGTCGAAAGACCCTCCACCACCCAACGTAGCCAAACAAATTAAGTTGTCATGTGGTATACGAGCGGGTCCATTGTGATGATTGTTTGAGCTCAACCACTCACTCACCCACTCACTCACCTACTCACTCACTCACTCACCCACCCACTCATCCACCCACCCACTCATTCACCCACTCACTCACCCACTCACTCAGCCACTCACTCACTCACCCACCCACCCACTCACTCACCCACTCACTCACTTACTCACCCACTCACTCACTCACCCGCTCACTTACCCACTCACTCACTCACCCACTCACTCACTCACCCGCTCACTTACCCACTCACTCACTCACTCACCCACTCACTCACCCACTCACTCACCTACTCACTCACCCACTCACTCACCCACCTACTCACTCACCCACTCACTTACCCACTCACTCACCCACTCACTCACTCACCCACCCACCCACCCACTCACTTACCCACCCACTCACTCGGTGATTTGAAGAACAATCCTCACAGCCAGACGATTCGCTTGAAACTGCATCAAGCATCTTCAGGACGTCAACAAACTCATACAATGACAAAAGATCCCCAGTATAGCCTTAACAGATTTTTGGGGCAAGTGCTGTTAGCGAGTAGCACCTATGAAGGCCGGCACGGCAACCGAGGGGGTGTGTGGCCAGCACCAGGCCCGGCCGCCTTTGTCTCCTGAGTGGCGATGTTTACTACACACCGCTCCAGGTACTCATTTGAGGCTGAGTCGATTTAGGGGATAACCGTCACGTGTTGGTGGCCGTGAGCGGGAATAAAACTCCGGTCGCAGGGTTCGTAGCATCATAGCGTGCTAACCGCGACACTGCCGCTCACCATACCGCACTCATAACAAACAGACAAAGATCCTAGATTTGAAGCTTTCGTGACTGCAAGGATATTCATATTCTTAGATTTTTTTCGGTAAAGTCACGTAGGTAAAATTTTTTAATTAATAAAAGTTAAATTAAATAAAAATCACGACGTTTATCAAGTAATACAGCTGTCGGGCTGTGACGGTTCCACCTGAAGACGGAAGCTTGTGTTGCCTCCGAAACGTCGTGATTTTTATTTTATTTTACTTTTATTAATTTAAATTTTTTACCTACGTGACTTTACCGAAAAAAACCTAAGAATTTAGACAAAGATCCCTCCCGTACAGCCTTACACAGACGTGTAGGGCAAGTGCTGATAGCGCGCATAACATAATACGTCCAGACGTACACGCGCGTTTGCATTCGCATGTACTTGTACGTGCGTATGTATGAACTTGAACGCAATGCGTTGATTTAAAACGATGGTCTTGAAGGGCTAGCGAGCTGTAATTTGGCACAAACGCAGACGTGGTCGGTTTCAGCGGCAGCGCCTTCGCGCCTACGTTGTAGAGGTTTGCGGTTCGAATTCCAGCGGCAGCCCCGGTTAATACGGCTGTTTGTTCCGACTGCTTCGCTTCACAGCGGGCGCTCACGAATCTCGTGGCGCTCGTGTGCAAGAGTAAGCCACTGTGTGTCGGCGACTCGGTTCGAAAATGTCACACCGCATATTACTTAATTGGGATCATACTTTAACTAAACTATAAAACTGTAAACTGTTTTTTTTCGAGGGGTTAAGCCCACTGAGTGGCACAGCTCTTTTTCAGAAGCGACATGGCTACCACGAACAACAGCAGCTCATATAAGTGGCGGGTAGAAATTCAGAGCCGCCAAATAATCTAAACGCGAGATGTTGATTCTAAATGTGGGGGGACGGGACCCGGAGAAAATTCCACGCGACCACGGGAAGAGAGAGACACACACAGCAAACTCCAAATATACAGCAGGCATCGTCAGAGTCGGGATCGAACCCACGACCTCCTGCATACCAGGCGAGGTAGTTAACATCGTACCACAGAGAGAGACACGTAAACTCCAAATACACAGCAGGCATCGTCAGGGTCGGGATCGAACCCACGACCTCCTGCATACCAGGCGAGGTAGTTAACATCTCACCACGAAGTGAGACACGCAAACTCCAAATGTACAGCAGGCATCGTCAGGGTCGGGATCGAACCCACGACCTCCTGCATACCAGGCGAGGTAGTTTAACATCTCACCACGGAGAGAGAGAGAGACACGCAAACTCCAAATGTACAGCAGGCATCGTCAGGGTCGGGATAGTTCTACGATGCGATTTTACCCTTTCCGCAACGTAGTCGCGAACCGGTAACCGTTTCAAGTGCAAACGTTCTTAACGCACGCGGCCGCTCGGCACGCGCGCGGGCGTTGCAAACCGCACGGCGGCCTAAGGCTCCCGGCACGGTGCCATTATTGCCCTCCGTTTACTGACGCGCATTACGGTTACCGGTTACGCAACGAACCCGGAGTGAAACCACCTCTCGTTAAACACTCGCCCCCCCCACTACCCACCCACCCGCAAGTTCAAGATGAGTTAACCGAGTAACTCGCCTCTCGCGGAGTGAGACGGTCAAGACGATAAAAAGCGTCCGCGTGGTCGCGAGCAAAAGGGCGAAACTTTAACGGAGACGAATCGACGCGCGCCCGTCACCGCCACGACCACCAACCCCAGTGACGTGGGAGCCGCCACAGGCTGATAGGGGCAAGCGTTGTGACTCCGACACTACTCGCGTGGCCGCCTTTGTCTCCCCGGCTGCTGACGCTTTCACACGAGGCGCCAAGTGCTCTCGTTGGAAGCTGAGTCAAGCTGGGGGGGGGGGGGGTGGGTTTCTGATGTTTGTCGTGTTTTAAAAGCGCAGCGCGCTAACCACAAGCGCCACCGCTCCTCAAACAAAGGCAAATGTCCCCCGCGTGGCCTCGCTTCGTAGACTGGAGGGCCAAGTGCATGCTGACTTACGCACGCACGTACACACGAAAACAACAACAATTTGATATACACACGCGCACATACACAATTCTCACACGCAGACAAGTTTATATAGACTTCATATATTTATATAGAAGCCAAATATAATTTCACGATTATAAAAAAAAACACATTAACGCACAGCAATAAAACATTTACACGCAGTTAATGCGCCCATAACCATACATATACACACAACAATACACAAACATGCACACATATACACACACATACATACACGCACACATATACACACACATACATGCACGCACAACTCACAATACCACACAGCACACACACATTGTATTCACGTAATAAGAATGTACTCATTTAAACATAATACCTATATACGTAAATTACATAAACGTAAATACATATATTTACTATGTAATGCATTGGCACACAAATACACTTACACAAAGACAAAGATCCTCTTCCGCGTAGCCTCAATAGACTGTTGGGGCAAGTGCTGTTATCGATCACCTATGAAAGCCGATACGGGGGGGGGGGGCATTTCCATACCCGACCGTCTTTGTATCCCCAGTATTGATGTTTACACACAGCACCAGGTATTCATTGAAGGTTGAATCGACCGA